AGATTACCAAGGCTCAGTGGAGAAGTACCATTGGATAGTATGCTAGAAGATGCCGATAGAGCCCTCCAGACAATCCCAACTACAACCATAACTCAAACCAATGAACTGATATATTGTGGAATCCTTGGGGTTCCTTGGGCTTAGTTCTTTTCTTGCAAATGTTTCATTACCTGGCTAGGTAACATCTTCAGTGCTAGAATGGGATGGAGTTTGCTCTCTCTTTATATACTGTGGCATGCCCTGCCAGTGTAGGTGGGGGTGGCGGTTTTGTTTTGTTCCTCTGGTAGTTCCTTGATTAGGGTATTGTTCACTGCTTGATTGTGTGCCTTGTTTTGTTCCTCTGGTAGTTCCTTGATTAGGGTATTGTTCACTGCTTGATTGTGTGCCTTGTTTTGTTCCTCTGGTAGTTCCTTGATTAGGGTATTGTTCACTGCTTGATTGTGTGCCTTGTTTTGTTCCTCTGGTAGTTCCTTGATTAGGGTATTGTTCACTGCTTGATTGTGTGCCTGGTGGTGATCTCTGCTTATCTGGGTGATGATTGCTGGTGAAAAGATGTTCTGGTCTTTTCTATTGTCTCTTTTGAATAGTGTGTAGATCAGTGTCACTGGCATAGATGCTGTTTATCTTTGTGTGTTTGTTGGTTGCTGCCTTGTCTGAATACCAAGCTTCCAAGAATTCTCTTGCATTTTTGGATTTAGCTTGGTCTAAAATGCTGATAGTTTCCCAGTTTCTCTGTTAGCATTATGTCAATTGTTTCCTTAAATTCTTGGCATTGCTTCAGTCCATGATGTTTAGATATACCACCAGTCTGCTCTGAAAAAAAATTGGGTAAATCATAATTAGGGTTCAAGTTTTTTTAAAGAAGAAATGCTAATGGACTAAGCATTTTAAATCATCATTTTATATTTAATAACCCCAGGTGACCAGAAAATAGGTACCTGTATAATTTCCTGATGTTAACTCTTTAAATGTCAGATTGGCCAATATCCTGTGACTGCTTTTAGGAGCTGGAAAAATCCAGCGCTTGCAATAGGGATGAAGATCGGGGGTCAGTCACAATTTAAACACAGCAGTCATTTATAAAGCCTGTTGTTCAGTCCCTTGTAAATAAATGAATGAAGTAAATCATTTGGCTGCTGTATTACATCAGTATGAAGGGGAATAGTAATCTACAAGTAAAACATCAATTAAAGAATTATGAAAGTGCTTGAAATTCACGTCAGTTTTGTGGTATCCATGTATCCATGTAACTTCATTTATTGTTTTACCTCAAAAGACCTTATTCTCTTCCTTACTACATTATATTGACTGAAAAAGCTTGTTATGCATCCTTTTTGGATTTTTTTTTTTTAAGTGTCATTTGACATGAAAACTATTCTCTTGGAGCAGGAAGTCAACATAGAAGAGGTTTTCCCTTGTTAATTTCTTAGCTCACTGACTAATAGCTCTGTCAGTGTTTAGAACATCAGTAAGCCTTTTTATGAGGTTTTTTTTTGGAAGTCTGCATTTATTCACTTAATCTGATATTTAAATGTTCAGACATAAATGTATTAGCAAACTTCCAAGAAGTATTTTAGAGGGACTTTCTTACCACATTTGTGTCCCTACACATCGTGTACAAACAACATGTGTTATCTGCCTTGTTATATTCCCACTTTAGAAATTTTATCTTTTTCTTATCTAAGTCAGGAACTTTTTTAAATGTGTGCAAAATTTGCATCATTTAGCAGCTGTGTGCTGTTCCATTTATTTTGTCTTTGCTGTTTCTTTACTCTCTATATTAATTTAAATTATGGCAATCTGGCTGAATATTGCTGAATTGTACTTTTGTTTTCCCCATTTAGAGTACGCACTGTTCTGCATTATTGGTGGGTATAATAAGTAGTCTTTTTGTAGCAATTACTGTGCTGCTCTTTAATTGTGATTTAGAAATAGTAGAAGTTTTCTTTACTGAGCATATTCTCAGTTTAGCAAGAACCCACTGAAATTTTAGTCTTTTGATTGAGTTTTGCTTTCTACCAATGGTTGATCATACTGAGTCATAAAAAACCATTTTGTAAATTGTTAGCTTTCATTTCTCCCTATATCCAATCTGAAGCGGATACAAAGGCACAGAGAATGAGATCAAATTACAAGGGAAAGTCTCCTTTGAGCAGAGGTGGACTCCTCGTGACTGGAGTGGGTGTGCTGGAACTGAGAAAGAAGAATCTATAGATACAATCAACAGATGGGAGAAGTTGTTATAGTCATTTTTTTTTAAAAAAAGAAACGATTGTTAGCTTTTCATGCAGTCAGGCTGGGAAAAAGAAATGCAAAAGTTTCAAAGAGGGCCTCCCACCTTAATAAAGTCACTAGTAAAAGAGGATTAACTGTTGTCAAGATTCTGTGTTGTAATTCCTAATTCTTGACATTAAAACCAATTAAAGCCCATGGGAATCTCGCTTCCTTGATTATTCCCTTCCGATAAAGGGCTTGACAAGGACACAAGTGGTTTGCCATTGATTTCTTCCGGGATTTTTTGGACTTCCCCATCTAGTCCACAGCCTTGGGAAGTCTTCCATCAAATCAGGGCAGTTTAACTTCAGACAAGGTCAGGCAGATGCTGCCACCTGCTGAGATGTATAAGGTGCAAGGTAAAAGTACAAGGTATTAATTGAGCAAGTATCTGCATCTCCTCTCATATCAACGGAAGCCAGAAACAGTTTTAAGATTAATAGTGCTTTAGCAATAAAATATAGACCCAGTTCTTTCTTGGAGGGTTTTTTTTTAAATTAAAATAAGTTGAGGCAACCTGAATACTTCATACTATGGCTACCTCGAAAGGATATTTGATGATAGATAAAATCAGCTAAGTATCACTGGATCCGGAAAAAATTGTCATTAGGACAGGACTTAGTTGCCAATATCATTGTTGTGAGATAAGCTAATACTGTAGTCACAAAATTATATTTTGCTCATGACTACTAAATTAATTGTAGGTAGTTTTATATTGATGAAGCTATTGTTGAAAAGCAGAAACAAAATGAGCTCACAGAATTTACATAGCAATGGTAACATTATTAACTTTTTTAACCTTACTAACTTTTTTCAATGTACTAACTATATTAATGTAATATACTGACATTCTGTAGTGTACAAGAATCCCAAAGTCACCAACTTTTTTTTTGCTGGTGGATACATTTGGAATTTTGAGACTACGTAATGGACACTTACAAAATGGTTGGTATGGTAGAATGGCCATTCCCCAAATGCCCATAGAGCAGAAGGCAAAGAAAGTAGTAGGTTGCAGTTATCAGCCATTTTATTTTCTATAAAAATGTTTGGGTTCAATACAGGGCCTAAAGGCATTAGGCAGCAGAGAGTTTGATGTGTGGCAAGGAATTTGTGTATATGCAAATTGTCATCTGGACACCAGGACTGTTGGATTTAGAGATAGGAGAGGTCTCTCCATTGGCTTCTGTGATAGAGGACAGATTTGAATCCAAGTTTTTTCAGTCCTTGTCCATCACCCTAACCAAACACTATACTGGCTCTCAACTAACAGCTTAGTCATCTGTTCTAGCTTTTAGCAATTCTGTGCATACCCACTCAAAACAAATCCTATTAAATTCAATGATATAATGCTGTGTATTGCTATAGTCTTGTAATGTTCACTACCTATGTGTGAATTTCCTCTCTTTAAATAATAGTTACACATGCTAGGCAAACTAGTATCCAGATATTTTGAATTTCAGTTTCTGTCATCCCTTAGTCGATATAGCAAGGGATAGTGGAAACTCTATTCTAAAACATCTGAAGGGATAGGTTGCCTGTTCCTGTGTTGTTTACTTTAAAAAGAAAATCTGATTTTTTGCTTGTTATATTTTTTGTCTTATTTACAACTATATAAGTTTGCTTTTTTACATAAACAGAATGTTGGACATTCAAGCTAGAAGAACATGTAGCCTATTAGAATAGGCCACATGCAGTCTTTCAATATTACATGTAGACAGAATATAAAAAACAAATTAATCTTCTGTTAATTGGCTTCTTCTTTCTATGCCCAGAAAAGAGTGCCTTAACAATTGGGGTGGTTTGTTTGAAGGCGATGCTGGTAGGTACGTGCATGAGCAATTCTTTAGACACTGAGTTTCATTTCATATTATAAATGATGTTTTGCAGTTTTAAGTATTCCTCCATTTGTTTACAAATTTATCTTAAATCTGCTAGGAAGAAAAATGTCAGCTTCCTGTCATTTAAAGGAACTTCCATGGAGTAAATCAGAAGGATCTCTGGCTGACCTGGATGATGGAAGCTTTACAAGAAGTGATTGGATAGGTATGTAACTGAGAGCATAACTACTTGGGCATAACATGTAATTACTGCTGATATATGCTTGTTTTAGAAGTCATTTGCTTATAGCAGGCTAGCTGAGATGCAAAGGCCACTGTGGCCCTGAAATTCAAGGATGGCTTATGACACCCAAACAAAATAAGTAAAATAAGCCCTGTAATAGGTTGAGTTTTAAAAAGCAATACTTCGTTATCAAAGAAAAATGGAAAATAATGGATCTATCTATATGTGATTTTGTTCTACTACCACAGCCATTGCTTTTCTAAAAATTGTTAAATGTGGTTCTAAGGAAAAGTACCTATCATATTCCCAGGGACAATGGGTTGGTTTTCAATATATCATACTCTGGAGATATTCCATATAAGTAGTATTGGTGGCTAAGATGATATTTTAAGCAAGATTTTTTGGAGGGGGTGAGAACACTGGAAGAATAAGAAAACGGCCACCTCCTTGATGTGAATCTTTTGACTATATTGAAGAAGGAAAAATATAATTCATTTTTTTTTTAAATATAAACAAATAAAATTTGTCAAGAGTATTTAGAGAATAAATGTACAGAGAAGGATGATCAGAATAAATAATTCCACTACGAAGAGCAGTTGTAATGGTTGGGGGGTTTTAGTATTAAAAAAATGATAAAGGTTCCTACAGCCTCCTATAGATTCAGCTTGACTTCTGGTGACTTCATTGATGCATCCATGTAGTTTTCTTGGCAGGAGTACCCAAGAATTGCCACTACCTTCTTTAGGGATTTTTTTTTAACTTCCTAGTCTTGCTTAAAATCCTGATATTCTCTGTAGTCTCTTATTCAGGTTACTAACCAGGGCTAACCTGCTGAGCTTTCAAACCCAGGTAATGTCAGGCAGCTCCTATCACCTGTTGAGACAATCAAGGTAGAGCTATAACACATTGCCCAGAGTCACTTTTATGTGAGATGGGCAGTTATATAAATACAATAAATAAATAAATTACAAATGGAGTGGAAAAAGTGGCAAGTTCCCCCATTACTTACTTTGGTTTTATGACTCTAAAATTTGGAATCATTCCATGAAAACACTCAGTGTGTACAATGTGGTTTGTGAGGAATACCACATGCCTGGTCAGCCCATAGCAAATCTTACACCACTTGCACTTCCATTATTTCCATGCCAGTTTCTTCTGCTGAAATTCCTAAGAAGAGAGAAGTCAACATTCCACAGTACAGAATAAAATATTGAGTAGTGACAGTATCAGTGGCTTGCTTTGCTTTCCCATTCCACAAGTCACCGAAGCAAGTGAAATGATCACAGACTCTGCTTTTTGGAAATTTTCCCAGAGCTTTCAATAATCCATAAGATTCTATGTCTTGGGGAAGAATCTTCTTAATAGGAACCCCATCCCTGCAAGCAAAATGAGAATAGTTTTTTTTTTAAAAAGATTTTGATAACTATAAACCTTCCCCAGGAATCCCAAGACAAAAACTAAATTCAGGTTATGTCCTGTCCTATGTCTAATAGGACATAACAATTTAAGACAGACCCACGGTTGTTAAAAAGGCAGTGAAGTGATGGGCTGGCATTATTAGCACAACCTCACGATGAATGATGAATATCCCAAGTGCATTTTTATACTACCTTAGAGATTTACTCAGTGAACCGGATCAGAAAAACTGTTGGGCAGCAGGGTAGATAATACCCATCAGTATTCTTAAACTGTCTCATTGACCAGATAAAGAATCTTGTAGCCTACTCCAGTTTGAAGAAAATAACAATTGTATTCTAAAAGTACAATATTAAACATATTTATTCGGACTCGGTCCAATTGTATTCTGGGGAATCTTACTCCCAAGAAAATGTAGGATTACATTCTATACTTGGCCGATTGCTATTTCATAGTCATGTCTTAGGAGTAGCAAATTCTTTCAAAATAACTTCTGAACAATGGCAATACCTACGTCTTGTGTTTTTGTATTTAAAATGTAAATAGAATCTGAAGTAAATCATGGTAATTTTCCAGCATGGACACAGAAATCTTTAGTTTAAAAATGAGTTGATGGGTAGATAAATGTATAATTGTTTTCTTTCACCTTATACTTGATATATTTAAATAAATTGATATGAGAATTGATATTGCTTTCTCTTTCATCCCCCAAAAACAGATGACAAGGAAAATGAATTATATCTGAAATCACTCTGGGCTGGAGAATTTAAGCAAGATGCCCCTGGTGGGTTTAAGACAAATCCATTTTGGAAGGAACTGTCAGCATCCAATCCTTTTTTAGATGACATAGCTCAATCGTGCAACAAAGAAAAAAGCAATAGACATATATCTATCTTGAAAGAAGATCCAGATTTATTTTTTAGAGATTCAAATGGTAGGGATTCTGCTGCCTCATCAGGAGATGAATTAAATATTGACTATCTATTTTGTCGCAAACCTTCCAAAAGATCTACAAAATCTAGGAGTGTTTCAGACCTTTTGGATATTGTAGATGTAAGATGTGAACTTTCTAGTACAGAATCATCCAACTATATCATACCTCCAGAAAGTGAAGCATTTCAGAATGACCGCGAAGCCTATAAGACAGCTTGGTTGAATCAACGACAACTGGCCCGATCTTGTCTGGATTTGAATGTGATCAATCAGAGTCCTGGATGGGCACAAACCCAATCTATAGAAACCCATATAGTCTGCAAAGTGAATTATGAAGGTGGTTCAGTGCAGCTTCCTGACTCAGATATTGCTGTTCATTTCCCTGAAGGTCATGTGGCACTCGGAGAATTCCAAGAGGTTGGCCTGCAGGCAATTCTTGATTCTCCATCACTTAATCATGAGTTTTCAACCACCTTGACTCCTTTGATTGAACTTACCTTGAGTAACCTCAATACTACTGAAGCTATTTTACTAGAAATGAAAATTGCGGCTGAAGTAAAAAAGGATCCTTTTAGTCAGGTAATGACTGAAATTGTTTGTCTGTGTAGTTGCAATAAGGAAGGTCCATTTGAAAAAATGCACAATTGTTACATTCATAAAGATACTGTACAAGTGAAACTAACAGACCTTAGTCATTTGATGTATATGGTTGTTGTAGCTCAAACAAATACAGTTAATTCTCTTGTAAGTGTTTGGGAATATATCCACAGAAAACTTTCAGTTGGGATTTATGGACCAAAACATATCCATCCATCTTTCACTGTTGTGTTTGCTTTGTTTGACCACAACTATGTTCCTGAGAAATTAACAGTATGTGACATTAAAAGGGGAGGAAAGAGTTTGCCCCCAGTTATTTTCCAACTATGGGGAAAACACACGTTTGTACTTGAGAAACCACAAGACCTCAGCATTTCTGTTGTCTCCTGTGACCCAGATTTTGAAGTGAAGGAAGAAGAACAGAGGAAAGAAATTAAAGAAGGAAAATTGAAAGGAGGTGGAGTGATTCATCAACATTTTCCATTTTCTATAATCAGCAAGAGGAAAATACATATTTTTGTCTTCCGTGTTCAAATCAAAGTCCCAGAAAATAACCTGGCATGCCAGTTTTACATTACAACACCTGAACCACCTCCAAAGTTATTAATGGGCATGACTAACAAGCCAAACCGAATTGAAAAACGTAAGGAAATAAAATCTGCACCATTACTATTAATGCCCACCATAAAATACCCTACCTTTCAAGACAAGGTTTTAAATATTACCCGCTATGGTATGGCATTGAAAACAGTGTTACGTCAAAGTAAAATTGACTATTTACTAGAATATTTTAAAGGCGATACAATAGCAATCCTTGGGGAAGATAAGGTCAAAGCCATTGGACAAACTAAAATAAAGGAATGGTATGTGGGAGTTCTTAGAAGAAAAGTTGGCCTTGTACACTGCAAAAATATCAAAATGATAACTGAAAACCAGACTATGGATGTTGAGGATAGTGAAATCATGACCAGCAGCCTCCTTGAACAAATTGCACTGCCTTTTAAAAAATTGACTTATATCTATTCAACAATCTTATCCACAGTATCCGAGAACATAAATGATTGGAAAGCTTTGGCTGATGCTCTTCGATTTTCAGATTTGTCCCAGGATGATTTCAACGAGTTACAAATTGAAAAAGAGTCAGAAAAAGTAGCGTATATTATGAAGAAACTCAAAGAAATTTGCCACGCTCACAGAAGCACAAGGCGATTCCTGTATGAACTCTCTGTTGTAAGTACTGCTGGGATGGGCTGATGAGAGGCAAATAAGGCATAATTCTTTAAAGTGACTTGTTATGACATTGGCCTTCCTACTTTAGCTCAGAGCCTGTGAGTAGATAGCAATGATGGTTTTAAATCTGAAAGCTTGTCTGGTGTGCGCAGCAGCTGCAATGCAACTTTAAAGAATCTTCTGGCTTAGTACTTCATTTTCTCCATCTGTGTTTATAGGTTTGTTTGGATTATAATGAAGTTGTTTAAACAAAGCTGAATGTGAAAATGCTCAGTATTTTGAAACTCTTGTCTGTGAAAGAAAAAATACCCCCACCCCCAGACATTCACATCCCCATTCCAGCATTAAATCGAAGAGTGCCTCCTGCTAATCAGGTGATGATGTCAGTGGGTATTTAGTAAAGCTGTGCAGCGCTTTGGTCTCCAAAAGGAGCTTCAGGCCATGAATGTAGCACCTTCTTGCAGTACCCTAAAGCAGCTGCACTACACAATCCCAGGAAAAGAAGCAGCTACTATAAGGAATTACAGGCAGATGCTAAGTTCACCTTTCCATATACTCTGAAGCTCACAGTCATTCGTGCCTTGGTCACTTCCTGGTTGGACTACTGCAACACATGCTATATGGGGTTGCTGTTGAAGAAGCTGGTTATTTCCTTTAAAGCCATATATGGCATGGGGCCAGGTTATCTGTGGCCACCTATCCCTGAAACTACATATGTGCCCATTTCACCAGATCAATTAAGGTAGGCACATTTAAGTTCCCTTCTCTTAAATGTTGCCATGTAGTGGGACCTAGGAAGTGTGCCTTGAGATCCAGCAGGCCATAAAGAGCTGGCTCTTCCCACAAACACGGAGATAGGGTGAGGTTGGAGCTGGAAGATAATGGTGTTGGCAGCATCAAAGGGGATTTGTTTGTGCCTTTATTGCTTTTTGCTATTATTGTTTTTATGATGTTTGGTTTTATGTGACTGTTGTGAGCCATCCAGAGTTGTGTTTCTTAAGATGGATGGTCATGCAAGTCTTATAATAAATAAATCAGTACCCATCTCACTGCAGCTCTTGCCCCACCAAAACATTAAGTGTATCCATTGTCTAGCAAAAGCATATTAACTGAAATTCTGCCTAGTAAATTCATAATCAGGATACTGTAGTGTGTATTTGGCTTGAAAAACTGAGTATTGTAACTCATAAATCAATAAGCCACGGGTAAGCACATACTACTACAGTTAAGGAGCATACAAAATCTCCACCTAATGTGTTGGACTTCAGTTAGAATATGAAATAACATACAGTTCCTTCAATTACTGCTTATTGTCTAAGTAGGATAGAGGACCTATGACACTCCAGTGGTTTTCAGACTTTAGCATCTATGAGTCCCAGAAAGCATAATTAATGGCTATGGCTCATTAAAGATGTAATAACACAGCTTCTGGAGGACCACAGCATTCTTGTGGCTGTTCTGCTATTGTCATGAAATGTTCTGCTGTTCATTTCATTTGCTCCAGAATCTGATCTCCAGGCAGTTACATTTTTCTGAATAGAAGATGGACAGGAGAAGACTCTACTAGCTCCTATTCCCAAGCTGCTGAAATTGTACTATGTTTTTTTTTTCTACATTAGTCTGCAATCTGTCTTTGCACTTGTTTAAGTGCAGAAGACTCTGCTTGCCAGAGCAAATCTAACACTTTCCTTTTTGAATGGTTAAATGAGAATTGCTATCTAAATTCAAGCACTGTCAATGCCTGTTTTGTACATCTTTTGGGCAATGAACTAGCCTAGGATCTTCCTTCATCATTGATCACTAGGAATGAGCCAGAAAGCAAAAGAACCTTCATGTTATCTTTTTCTCTATGCCTTTAGTTCATAGTCAGTTCTTTTGTTCTGCTCCTATCAGCCTTGCACATAATAGTGACTTTACCTCTGCAGTGTGGGAAGTTTTTATTTTTGAAATTCTTAACCTAGTAAGTACAGCAACTAATTCTCATTGAGAGCTTCTTATGTCAAAGGACATAGGCTCCCCACAAATGACTGCAGATTACTTGGCTAACTCCATGTGGATAAACACACTTTCTGTGAATAGATTAGAAAATCCACATTCAATTTGATTCAAAGCAAAAACGATTTGCCAAATTACGAATCTGAATCTAATCAAGGTTGTTCATATAACCCTAATACCTTGATTGCTCTGTAAAACAAAGCAGTAAAAATACTTCCAGCCTTTTCTCACATAATATCTTTAATTTATGTGCATGTGTTTGAATTCAGGAGTTTTTACTCTTGGCAGTTTTCTGGGCAACATTTTCAGAAGTGGTTTGCCATTGCTGCCTTCTTCCTAGGGCTGAGAGAGAGTGACTGCAGTAAAAGAGAATATATGTAGCCCAGGGTCGAACTGCGGAGTCCTTGATGCTCTCTGAGCTTGGTTGTTTGCAGACGTTTCATTACCCGATTAGTAACATCATCAGTGCTAGTGAGTGTAGGGTTTGCTCCTTGTTTTTATGCAGTAGCCTGCCTGCCAGTGTTGGTGGGGATGTGATTTTCTCCTTGGTAGTTTCTTGATTATGGTATTGTTTTCTGCTTCATTGCTTGTCTGGTATTAATCCCTGCTTATCTGGATGTAGGCTGCTGGAGAGAATGTGTTCCAGTCCTTTTGTTTCCTTCCTAGCTTTTTTATTGTCTCTTTTGAATGGTGTGTAAATGTGGTTTATC